GAATCCACTTTAAAGTAAAAAAAAAGTAATTAACAGTTTTAAATAACTTGTCCTTTGAATATAAGTAAAACCAATATGATATGGTAGACTGAAATATAAATAAATCTAAGTAATTTAACTTTATTTAGTGGTCTTTTTTTTTTATTATGATATCAATACATTATATAATCTCTATATTTATAAAATCCATTTAAATAACTCTTTATAATTAGTGAATTAGTTAACTTAGTTGGTAATATCAAGGTTGTCCCAAATTTACATCTTTCCTGAAATTATTTTGAACATTAAGGAAACATGTTATTTTCTTTTTTCTTAATATTGTCATTCATTATTGTTTTAATTTTTTTCATTATCATTACTTTTTATTAGTTATGTGTATGAATAGTCTTCTAAACTACACTTTATACAATACAAAGCTACTTCCAAGGTAGTGAGACATAGTTTAATCCCTAGGAAAAAGAAATAACATACTAAGAAAAATCAATCCCATTAAAAAGATGTTGTACTAATTAAAGTACTTTCATTTTTATCTGATATAGAATTTAGCTGCAGACATGAATTTTGAAAAAAATTTCACTCATAAATATCCAACTAAATTATGTGTAAAGAAAGATTATTGTAATAATAAACATAAGTTGTTTGTCCGATATTGCAGTTACAGATGGTGATAAACGAGGCAATGAGATTGTATCCTCCTGCAACTGTGCTTCCGAGAATGGTTTTCGAAGATATTGAGTTGGGAGATCTCCACATTCCTAAGGGCTTATCAATTTGGATTCCAGTGTTGGCCATTCACCATAGTGAAGAACTGTGGGGTGAAGATGCAAACGAGTTCAACCCTGAGAGGTTTGCTTCAAAATCATTCGTATCTGGTCGCTTCATACCCTTTGGTTCTGGCCCTAGAAACTGTGTTGGACAATCATTTGCCATGATGGAGGCCAAGATCATACTAGCCATGTTCATATCTCAGTTTAGCTTCACCATTTCTCAGAGTTATAAGCATGCACCAGTGCTTCTCCTCACAATTAAACCTAAATATGGTGTTCAAGTTTGTTTGAAGCATTTAGATCCATAATTCTACTAAAAACTTCTTCTTCTGGGCTCTTTACTTGTTGGATTTGTTATGGTGGATATTTATAAGTTGTTGTTCGTAGTCAATAAATATAATGAATAAGATTATCTTTGGTTGATAATAGTTGATATGTGATTGTTATATGAAATTCTTTGGTGTGGGTATATATGTATACAAACCCTCAAGTTTGAAACAAAAAAGCTTTTCGTTTTGCATATAGACAATTTAATTAGTTCTTCAACTTTTCAGATGATCAAACTTATTAAGAAAAAATTGCCTTTCATTCAAGGTGCTCAAATCCCACTTATCAACGAAGAAATAAAAAATTAGGCAAAAAACATGAAAATTCGGAATAGGAGTAGAGGGGTCTTACCAGAGCGTGTTGTTTACCTACCTGTAGAGGAATTTGTAATCAGTAGTGAATAGTCAGTAGTGAGTAGAAGATATCATTTTGAATCCATTTCAATTCTTCTTCAACAGAGTGTTAGGATAATATACAGTGATTTTTTCTTTTCCAGTAGAGGTTGCTCGAAGGAGTCTCATGAGCACAAAGTGGTCGTGAGCACTCTTTTGAGTAATTTCTTGCATTCTTTGTACTCTATGAACTTAATTATTTCTTTCATTTTAAATAAAGTTTTAGTTTATTGTTTCTGTGTTCAAGATATTACATTTTTGTTCTTTATTTTTTCTCTTGAAAGATTTTACATTTCCAGCAATATGTTCTTATTGTTTCTGCATTATGAAATTGAATTCTGACTTCTATGTCCGTAACTGTTCTGTTTTAGAGTCCCGAGTCATTTTTGCATTACTAGTTGAAGAAAGAGTTGGTAGATGATTTGATAAACTCTTTCCATGGCTGGACTAGAGCTTCTCACGGTTACCGATGCATAATAGAATGGATTGAAGGATGAGGCAGGGGAACTGGAGCAAGGATTGTAGCTGTTCGATGAAATGAAGATGAATGGCTCTCGGTGAAATGGTTAGGTGTGGGTTAAGGTGCGAGAATGGGCCTAGAAGGAATCCTATCTAGGCAAAGTGGCTAGAGGAGATAAAAAACTTTATTGTGATCTCAATAGAGGTTCATTATCATAAGCATCAAGTGATTACAATGGAGTGGGGAAGATGGATTTATAAGAAGATCTAAGCCTTTCCATGGTGCCTATGATGAATGGATTGAGTGTCACATAATAGAGCATGTTTACAATGAGCAAGACATGTGGAACATGAGCTACATGTGAAGGAGCTGAAACACTGGTGTTGAGCGGCTGGAAGGTGCACTGGTTGCTTCGTTGATTAATTCAAACACCTTTTATTAGTGATTTCAAGATTTAAGATTCTTTAAAGATTTAAAAAGTTTTTGAAATCCAATTCACTCTCCCCTCTTAACTTGAGATATAGAGATTACTTTTCTAACAACGTTGATTTTGATAATTTTGTTGTAGTAGCTAGCTCGGTGATCTAAAAATTACGAGTTAGTAGTCAAAAGAAAGCTCTTTAAGTATAGATTTCAACAAAACAATAATAATCTCATTTGGAGTTATGTAAAGAAAATTATAAGTAAAACAATGAGCAAATGTCAGAGTTGGCAAAACATAATAAAACGTTAACTTTAAAAAATTAATTGCACATACTCAAATGTCCAAAAATTACGAATTAGTGGTCAAAAGAAAGCCCTTTGAGTTTACTTTCCAAGAAAAAAAGAATCGTCTCAATTGGAGTTTTTGTGGAAAAAGTTATGCATGAAACAATCATAAAGGTCAGAGTTGACAACATGTTGTCTTAAACGTGTTTTTACGCAAATTGACATGTGTTGGGTTCCTTTAGATTAAATAGAATAGCATTTAATGATTTTCTAGTCTTATCGTGTATAAATAGGGGGTTTATGCTTTATCTTGGTAGTTAAAAGGATGATTCCTTTTGCCTGTGTAAGGCGAAAGGTGGATTCGAGTCCTGCCCATTTTCCTTCTTTGAGGGGGTACAAATGTCTCGTCCATAGGTTTTTGACTCGTGCTGTGTATTTACTCGTTAGTCCTTAAAGAACTGGGGAGATATGTCTGAAGCAACGTGTGGAGGACGACTCTTGTCGTAATTCATTAATTACATGTGAATGATTGGTGTTGATATATGTTTATTAGTTGTGTGTGAAGGATGAGAACCGAGATAAGTCAAATAATTACGTGTGAGAGACAGGAAACGAGTCGTGTCCAAAGTTAGGCATGGAGGAGGACTCGTCGTCATTTGTTTTGGTTATCTGGTTTTACACGATACAGTACAAGAGGATAAAACAAACTTAAATTCACTTAATAATAGAATGAATTTTCGGAATAGACTAACTAATTACAATTATATCTCAGGCTGTTTCAATAAAGATAGTATGACCTTGCTGACACACTTATGATATTATTGGATGTTTGAAGTGTATAAGTAAGTTTATCTGTATTTGGGGCGTTTATAATGATCGTATAACTTGTGTCATTATGTGGGAGTAGATGATGTTTCAGGTGAAGCTAGAGTCATTTAGTGCGAGAATGCATTGGAAAAACTCTCTAAGACTTTTAAATTGTGAAATGTTGTGGTTGTAATTATTAAACAGCTTTTAATTACTCTTTAAACCTTGAAGTTATTATTTCGTAAAGATATAAAATATTTGTCTTTAAATCCAAGAAGGAGTGTTACAATATCCAAATGTGATCTAACTCGGCCAATGTTCATCCCAAATTTTGAGGTTGTGGTTCCCTTTCCCATTGTAGCCAAAATATATATTTTTCACTATTACAAAAAGAAAAACATTAGTCTATTTTAAAGTTATAAAATGCTATTGTTGAGATTGTTGATAGGGGAAGCACTAGTTTAGATGAACCCACAATCTCAGTAATATCTAAGCTTTTGATGATGACAATGCATAATTAATAACACATGTGTATTTTGAGTTACATGTTCTATGCTTACATGTTATATGCGTATATGAGAGCATGATTGTGTTGTTGTTGTGTTGTTCATTGCATTTCACTGCATTTCACTGCATTTCACTGTGTTATATATGTGATTTAATGTGGCAAAACACTAATGTTGAATTTTAATTATGTGGCAAAACAATAGTTTTAAGTCGATTTCATTATGGGGTGATGAGTCGATTAAAACTCGTGTCTTTGCACAAACCTTTTTCAAAGTGTGCTGTGAGATTTTTCAAAGAGAGTTTTTCAAAACTATGATTTACACTATTACATAGTCGATTATATGCGTGTTGCATTCGACTAAGTCTGTTACTTTTTTGAAAGTCTGTTAATGCTTGATATAACTATCTAACGGTCATATTTTTAAATATATTGACCAAGCATTAAATGTCATTCGACTGCATTAATTGCAAATTCAATTAATTGCTTTGACTGCTGCTAACTACTATAACAGAATTGTTATATTCGACTGCATTAGTAGCTTAGTCGATTAAAATGCGTCAGAGATGTGTTATCCTATAAATTAACGCGAATTTGATTTCTGTAAGAACTTTTGTGAATCTAACCGTTTTTGTGATATTTTTCAGAAAGTGCTATCTTGCAGAAAGAGGAAAAGAGCTCCAAGAATCAAAAAGTGAACGTGGTGATCATCTCCTTGTGATTTCTTAAAGAGCAAGTTTGATGTGTATTCAAAGGGCTGATCAATTATGCACATTTGGGTGTAACTGCGAGATCAGAGTCTACAATCTTATGAAGATTGGATTGAGGTTCCCTGTTGTTACTACATGAAGAAGAGCGTGCAACGTTCTTGACTTTGAGAGGTGTCCCAAAGGGTTTAGACAGCAGGAGAGTGAATTCTTGTTGTTGGTCTAGTTATTGTACTGCCTATACTTGATTAGAGGGTTAGAGAGGTGTTTTATATTTTTGACGTGAGGTCTCTATAAAAGCCTTGCTGTAAAAGCCTTGATCATTATAGTGCATTTGCTTCCCGTGGTTTGAAGGACACTGGATGTAGGTAGGTTGGTCGAACCAGTATAAAAACCAGTGTTTGAATTTTCTAATCCATACTCTTTTACTTTTAATCGACTTTACTCTGTACTTATTCAATTAAGTTTTTGCTGCATTAGAAAGTCTTTTACCTTACGTTTCAAGAAAGCTTTAAAGGAATCCCCTTTTGCGAAAAAGATTTTAAAAGACTTTGTTTTTAAGTTTCACCAATTCACCCTTCCTCTTTGTGTGAGAAATTGAGTCATTCTATTTTAAAAACTATTATAAGTATATATTTTAAATTTTAATTTTGTCAGGTTTTTAAACTATTTTTTATTTTAAAAGAGCACCATGAAAGTTACATATGTCACACCAAAATTTGTAACTTTTATAAAGATATATTTTTTAATTTATTTTTAACTAGTTCTTAGAGCCTATCTCTTTTTAGACAAAAAGTATTTAATGTAACATTCCATTTTAATAATACAATTTTAATAATACAATTGTACTAAAATAGAACATTTAATATTTAATAATCCAAAATGGATAGTCCAAGGTATATATAATATATGAATATAGTCATAAAAAAAATAAAACATAATAATGATTATATAATTTAGAGTTATGGTCGATGTATGATTCTTGGTGATCTCGTACTTGTGGTGACCTCTACTACTATATAGAGTTATTGTCGATGAGTTTTACTTTACCACACATAAGGTTAATCCTTTCATAGTCTTTGTGTAAGATAAATCTCCTAGACTACGATCGACATCTTATCACTCTCACCACATAACTCATTCTACTTTATATGAGTATTGTCGCAAGCGGAATCGCGACGGGACGACAATCCAAAAAAGGAAACGGGTTTCAAAAAGAGATTTTGGAGTCGCCACCATAGTTTATTCTGGAAAACTACGGAAAAACCATAAAATAATAAGACACGGTCCACGAAAACCAGATTCTGGGTTCGGGAGTCGGTTACGTGTAGGGAAGGTATTAGCACCCTACGACGCCTGCCCTAAGGCAGTACCTTTAACTAAATACGTGAATATGATGTGG